CCGAAGGAGTACGGCCACTAGCGTGGATCCGGTCTTAGCAAGCCGCAGGGCATGCGTTAACCATTACCGTGGCGAGAACACGGTACTGCTCAAGATCACAACACTTTATTGCCTGCAGCAACACCAAAAACGCAGTACAGAGCCCATTAGAAAAGGGGCGGCAGGAGAGGAAATAGACTTATCCATGCGCCGGGCAAGAAGTACTACACAGGGGTGACGCGTCCCCGTGTGCAAAAGTGATTCATCTGAACACCGGGAGAGAGGGCCCAGTTGCTCGAGCAAGGACAAAGGCGCTCGTGTTGGCTTCAGAGAGATACGGTTCGGCGTAGCCTGGCCACGCACTAAGACACCTCACTGCTCTATGGCCTAGCCTTCGGAAGGAGGGGCAACAAAAGGTAAGCGTTCGCATGCGGGTGCAAGGCGCCGTTGGTGAAGTTCGAACGAGCCCCAAACAAAGGGAGCCGACGGACGAAAAAGAAATGCGTGCTTACCCCTTGTCATCACGGAGAGGTTCCCGCACTCCCGACGCGCACGTGTGAAACGTCTTGAGAGACTTTGCGCATGGTGCCACAGTCGACATCTGCTACTGGGTGAGAAGAGTTAAATGTCACATCCCGCTCCCCCAGCATGGCAGACCGTGGAGAAGGGGAGTTATGTCGGGACATGAGAACGGCAGAAAGAGGCAGCAAAGCCCATGCAAAGGCGGCGGGCTAGCCTCGATTTCCACAACTTCTATTACGATGCAATATTTCTTCCTGAAAAATCGCATTGTGCCTCAGTGCACACATTTTTGGTTCTTTTCTAGCCAAGCTGCCACTTCCTATTTCTTTTCTTTTGTATCCCTTCTCTTCTTGTTGCTTGTTTCTAGCTTCTCTTGCCACACTCTCCAGATGGTCTGAATTCTCTCATCCATACAGTCGGTAACATGCAATTAAGTTGTGCCCCCAGGACAGCATCATGCATTACTTTCGCTGCTATAAGCAATTCTTTCTACAAATTCTCAAGAAGCACACCTCACTGGCAGAAGGAGACAGAAGCACACCTCTACTGCATGAGGCAATAAGTTTCACGAAAAAACCGTCATGATCCTGAGTGTCTACTACTGTTCTCAGAGTGTCTGGTGTCTGCTGCTTCCTGCCAGTGCAGTGCTTTCAAAGCACATCTCTACGTAGAAGCAATAGGCTCGCTCTGCTCGCAAGCTGGTCAATCAGCGGTGCTCCAGAATAAGCCACCTGACCTGAGGCTGGCCTCCAAAGAAATTCACAGGCAAGCTTGCACACTTGCCTGTGAATTATACTTCACCGATGCTATCTCCATAGCTTTCTGTGCAACCTCTCTAAGAGCTGAAAATCAACCTTCGAGAAGCCAGAACCACCCAGGAAGACACCATTCATATCTGTGGTCGTGTCCAGCCACATTTATTGTTTTTCAGATTTTTCAAGTCTATGCTCATCAGGCATCACCAGGAACTTCCTATTTCAGAATTCATGACCGCAGTAAGAGCAAAGTTACGCTGTCACATTCTTGTACCAAAGCTAATGCCAGCCTTGGCCTTGCCCAGCTAAACTTTTGAGCCATTGCAGAAATTGCAAACATTAGGTGAAAAAGTGTTGCAGATGCTGTCACAAACAATTACACTGTCCTAAAATTAAGACATAGCAAAGCTTCTGCTTGTATCACCAAAACTACCACCAGCTGACACTTACACAAGGGTCACTGCAGCCTCACTGGCAGTAGGAGCAGATCCTATGCTGCTGCCAGGCAAGGATGTAGAGGCCTTCAAGAATAAGTTTGGTTTGGAAGCATCTTTTTGAGAACTCAAAACAGAAATATTTGTTGCGAGGGGGATAACTTGATCCCCATACTGCTTACCACAGCACAGCAGCAAACTGCGCACATGGCTAGGTGTGGACTATTTTATACAGGCTGAATCCCGCTCAAACATCTAAACTCACTCAGCTTTGGGCTGTAGACCTTCAATGAGCATTTTTTTTCCATGTGAGGTTTTGAGCAATGAATGCTTTGCTAAGGTAAAAGGGCCCTTTGCTACACTGAGACTGAAGTCCAGAATGTTGCAGGTCTAACGATTTTTTTCTCCCCAAAACACATTGCTGCAGCAAGCACCTACAGTCGAGCCTGACTATATCGAACCCGTTTATATCAAATTATCCCGTATATCGAACAATTACTAAACACGGTAAGTTTACATTGAGAATATATAGCAAAAGTTACTGTTTTATCGAACGAAAATAGCAACGACATTTGATATATCAAACTCCATGTGCCTCAAAAGTGCCCCAGCAAGTTGGCTTTCCCTCGCGGTGGCGGAAAAAACTGCCGGCGCTGCCCTAGAAAAAGTTGGTTAGACCCGGTTGTGCGCAGGCGAACACCCCCCCTCCAAGAAATGATCCTGGCCCGCTCGCAGCGCTTACAGCCAATCAGAGGCCGTCGTGCTTTCTCCGAAGAGTGGAGGCGGTAGAAGTGAGTGCCATTTTTTCTTTCTTTATGATTGTGTGCCTGCTGCTGCCGATTCAGCATGGTCTGTGGTGTTGCCTGTTGGTGCTCTGTGAACTGTATTGGCGCGCTGTCATCATGGCTTGCGCAAAGAGGCAAAATTTGCCGTTCGCTGCGAAACTCGAAATCATCAATCGGGTTGAGCGAGGTGAAAAGAAGTCCGACGTAGCCGCCGCGCACAAAATTTCAAGGAACACTTTGAGTACTATCCTGAAGCACAAGGCAGACATCAGGGCCAAGTCGGACAAAAAGCCAGGTGCTCGTGGCGCCCGACATGTGCGCGCTGCTGTGTACGAAGATGTTGAAGCGGCCATTTACAAGTGGTTTGTGGACGTTCGGTCGCGAAACATCCCAGTGTCCGGCCCTATGATCGAGCAGAAAGCCAAGGACCTTGCTTTTTTGCTTGGCAGGAATGATTTCCAAGGCGGTTCAGGCTGGCTTCAGCGGTTCAAAGAACGGCCCTGACATCGTTGGCAAAGCTGTTACAGGTGAAAGTAGAGCGGCGGACCTGGACAGCGTAGCAAAATGGCTCGAGGAAAACTGGCGAGATATCGCAGTAAGATATAGAGCCCAAGATATCTTCAATGCGGATGAAACCGCTCTATTTTGGCAAATGTTGCCAAACAAGACACTTGCGCTTCATGGCGATAAGACAAGCGGCGGCAAGGCAAACAAAGCTCGTGTGTCCGTGCTGTTGGCAGCTAATTTAGACGGATCGAAAAAGCTTCGACCTCTGGTTATCGGGAAAAGCACGGCACCGCGGTGTTTTCAAAATGCGCTGTCGCTTCCAGTTACCTACCGCGCAAACTCAAAAGCGTGGATGACCAGGGAGCTTTTCAGCAGATGGCTATCGTTGTGGAATGACGATTTGGTAGGCGAAAATCGCAAGGTGTGCTTGCTCGTGGACAATTGTTCATCGCACCACTGCAGTACGACCTTCAGCAACATCGAGCTGCGTTTTTTGCCCCCGAACACTACGTCTGTACTGCAACTACTGCATCGAGGCGTTATGCGCGCGATGAAAGCCGGCTATCGGATGCGCCTGGTGGAGAGGCTGCTGCAGAACTTTCGTGTCGGCAGGGAGCTTAAGATTGACTTGCTCGGAGCTATTTCTATGTTGAGTAGATCGTGGGCAGATGTCAAGAAGGAGACGATCCAAAACTGCTTTAGGCATGCCTGGCTTTCACATGCCTGGTGATGACACCCCAAATTCTGACAGCACTGAAGACACCGCAGGTGTTTCCGCTGAAATTTGGAACGAGCTGGCAGAGTTCCCGGGTGCTATCAACGGATCGACATTTGACGAGTTCGTCAGTGCGGACGATGATGTCCCCATCATGGGCCAATCACAGGATGAGGATTACATTGCAGACGTCGCGCCGACCACGAGCCAAAGCGACAGCAATATGGAAATCGACGACGGCCCATTGCCTACATCCTTCGCAGTGACTAGTGCATTGCGTTGGTCCGGCGCTATTGCTTGAATGTGGAAGGTTGCGGCCTCAGCTGCTCCGACTCGTTGGACAACGTGGAGGCGTGCGTGCTGTCGCAGGCAGAGAAGTCGTTGACAGAGAAAAAAATCCAGGACTATTTTGTTCCACAGTAGGGCACACAAGTAAGCCACCATATTAATAAAGTACTCTTCTTCTAGTTTTTTATGTGCCTTTGTGTCAAAACCTATACCGGGCCTATATCGAATTATGCCATAAATCAAGCTAATAAACGTTTTTTGGCAAGTTCGATAAACCCGGGTTCAACTGTAGTAACTCTGTAGCACACCAAAAAACGCACCAATGCCTCTTTTATTTTATTTTTTTCAAACTCGGCGCAACTTCTTGCTGTTAAATTGAAGCCCTCAGTCCGCCTTAGTTCAGGGAGTGGTTGTGATGCGATGCCACGTGAAGGGTGCGACTGCTTGCGTAATACATGTGTCCAAGCGTTTTCCCACAACAATGTGAGACGCGGTTGTTGTGACACACTTGTTGCCCTCACCAATACCACGCATCTCTCAGATTTGTTCCTTCATGCTCCTTCTTTGGGGCTTCAAGCAATGGCGCTGCTGCCTTAGAGTGCTTGTGTGGCACCTCTTAAGGTCAGCGCATGCAGCAGTGTCACAGTGACACTTCCACACTGGTAGCCCACACAAAGCCACGAATGAAGACACGCCATCTCAAAACACCGCGTCTCTTATGAGCCAGAGTAACTGCCAACATAGTGAACACGAGGAATAAAAGATGTCGCCCTACAGGTCTGTACACAACTGAACAAAAATTTACTAAAATGATTTCTGTTGAGAGGCACCACCTAAACGGTATGCTTCCCCATAAACGCAAAGCACACACGAAGGCTAGACGATGGGCACGAGTAGGAAAAGGCTACATAGAGGCTTTTATGATAACCATGCTCAGGATTTCACAATAACCTCCAAGGTTTCTTAACCACCTCGCCTGCTTTTCCTAGCCTCATGCTTCCCACGATGCACTCACCTTCGTACTTCCTCCTTCATCTGTTGTGCGTAGCTGGACTCCATGGCTTCATCATCATCATCATCTTCAAACCTGCAAAACAACCATGATATCATGTATTTCACATTTCCTGGAGTCAATCTATCAATTACATCTAATCGTCAAATGTAGCACATGTAATTATACAATAGAACTTCATCATGCATAAAAAAAAGCGGGAGTGAAACTGATTGATTGATATGTGGGGTTTAACGTCCTAAAACCTCCATATGATTATGAGAGAAGCCGTAGTGGAGGACTCCGGAAATTTCGACCACCTGGGGTTTTTTTACCTGAAATCAAATATGAGCACATGGGCCTACAGCATTTTCACCTCCATCGAAAATGCAGCCGCCGCAATCGGGATTCGATCTCACGACCTGCAAGACAGCAGCCGAGTACCTTAGCCACTAGACCACCGCGGTGGGGAGGGTGTCATACTGGGTAGTGCATTTCTCATACCGTGTTACGTCAAGGCAAAGGCAAGTCATCATATTGCTACGTAGCTGACGTATCAGCGGTCAGAAGACGACAACGAGGAAGTGGTCTGTCGGTTGTGCGGGCTGCTTTCATCTTAGTCGACGCCATATGCATAATTTTGAATATAGATTTTAAATAGACACACCTCGTGTCATTTTTACGTAACATCTTTGTGGTGGACGTGTTGGGTACTTCCCCGTCTTCATCACGAAGCTCCGCAACGGCCGCATCATCATAGATCCAACCATGTCACAGGTTGAACAACCATCGTCTTCGCCACCTGCCCCTACTGTGACTTACACATACATCGTTCTACCTCCTACTCGTGATCCCGGTGTATTTTCGGGTCAGGATGGCGTTGACGTCGACAAATGGATCAACCGATACGAACGGGTCAGCGCAAGCTATAGGTGGGACCCGACTCTTATGCTTGCCAATGTGCTTTTTTACCTCGATGGCCCACCGCGAGTGTGGTTCGAGACGCACGAAGCGGAGATTACGAGCTGGGACTCGTTTAAATAGAAGATCCGCGACCTTTTTGGCGACACCGTTGGGCGGCAGATCGCAGCGCGGAATCAACTAGCGGACCGTGCACAGACGTCGACGGAGTCGTACGTCGCGTACATTCACGACGTCATCGCCCTATGCCGCCAGATTGACGAGCACATGAGTGAGTAGGAGAAAGTGGCCCATGTGCTGAAAGGCATAGCAGACGACGCATTTAATCTTCTAGTTTATAACAACGTTGCCACCGTCGACGCCATCATTAAAGAGTGCCGGCGGTTCGAAAAAGCCAAGAGCCGCCGTATTACTCAGTGATTCACCCGGCTGCCCAACACGGCCGCGACCTCATCGTGTGAAGCCGCCCGCCAGTCCCCCACGTATGACAGCGTCACACGCATTGTTTGTCGGGAAATCGAAGCCGCCTGTCCGGCTCCTCTTCAGCCACCCGTTTTCGCAATGCTCGCCTGTGACCAACAACAGCCGTCAGTGGCGTTAATACAAGCTGTGGTGAGGCAGGAGTTTGCAAACCTCGGACTTCTATCAGCATGTTTCTTGACTTGCCCTGAAGTCCCGTCCTACTCCCGAGGACACGCTCGCCGTTCACCTCCAACAATGCCCTTCCGTAACCCTTCGGAATGGCGAACACCCGACGACCGGCCTATTTGTTTTTCCTGCCACCAGCCTGGGCACGTTTCTCGCTATTGCCGCCGCCGTTGGTCAAACCAACCACGTCAGACTTTCTCTACCTCGGCGCTCATGCATCCGATGACCCCTGACGTTCAGTCGCCGCACCCTTCAATTTCTATTCGTCGTCATCTTACGAGCCTTCCACTGACGCCCCTTTGCCCGGTCGCCGCTACCCTGACGCCCCTTCGTCCGGTCGTCGCAGCTCTCGCTCCCCGTCGCCGCTACGTCGCCGATCCCGCTCTCCGCCACCTCGGCGCTTTTCCTCGCCGAGCTTCTCTGGACGGCCACAGCAGGAAAACTAGATATTGCAGCTCATAGAGGTGAAGCTTCAATACCAATGACGGCCGAAAATCCTCTACTGACGCTTCCCACCCACCATAGCCTGCTTGAAGTACAAGCCGACCATGTTCCTGTGACCGCCCTCATTGACACAGGTGCGCACCCTGTCTATTATGAGCGCTTCTCTACGCTGCCGCTTACAAAAGATTATGACGCCATCTACGATGCAGGCAATACGTGTTGCCGATGGCGGTACTGTACCAGTAATCGGAATGTGCACTGCTCGTGTCAGCATTGCCGATCGTCACGCTGTGGTCCTTTTTGCCGTGCTAGCCTGCTGCCCTCATGATCTCATACTTGGCCTTGATTCCCTTTCGGCACACTCAGCCTTAATTGATTGTACGTCTGGTACCCTGAGCCTTGATCTACCAATCTTTGCCGACTACTCTGCAAAGCCCACCAGCCGCTTGAGCCCAGCCACTTTCGTTCGCCTGCCACCTCGAGCCGTCACGTACGTGTCTTTGTCATCGACCCCTCCCGTTCCTGACTGGTGATTATATCGTTACGCCAATTACTGACCTTCGGCTGACGCGCAGTGTTATTGTGCCGTATACCATCGCGAGCAGAGCGAATAACTGTGTGTTACTTCTGCTCCTTAACTTTGGTTTCACCCCTCAAGTGTTGCACTGCCAGATGTCTCTAGCCCAGCTAACTACCATAACAGAGGACGATGTCCGTGTTGTCGCTGTATCTGCTCTTGATCGAAGCGCAGTCTCACGGTCACCCAGCTCAGACGATGGTATGTTTCAAAACATGATTGGATCGGAGGTGTCGCCTCACCAGGCCGACGCTCTCTGCCAAGTTTTGGCCTCATACAGTGACATTTTCGACACCGACGATCGTCCCTTGGGCCAGACTAAAATTGTCACTCACCGAATCAACACTGGTGACTCTGCGCCCATTCACCGTCGGCCAGTACCGCGTGTCAGCGTCTGAGCGAGAAGTGATTCAGAAAGAAGTGGCCAAAATGCTTACGAAAAATGTAATCGAACCATCAACGAGCCCTTGGGCATCTCCCGTGGTATTAGTTAAAAAGAAAGACGGCTCATGGCGTTTCTGCGTTGATTATGGCCACCTCAACAAAATTACCAAAAAAGACGTGTACCCTCTACCACGCATTGACGATGCCCCTGATTGCCTCCATGGCGCCACCTTCTTTTCATCTCTCGACCTCCGATCTGGCTACTGGCAAATTGCTGCAGATGACATGGACCGAGAAAAGACCGCCTTCGTTACCCCTGACGGTCTTTACCAATTCAAGATCATGCCATTCGGGCTCTGCAACGCTCCAGGGACCTTTGAGAGAATGATGGACACGCTCCTACAAGGATTTAAATGGTCGACATGTTTGTGTTACCTGGACCACGTGATCATTTTCTCACCTACCTTTGCAACCCACCTTGAACGCCTTTTGACCATTCTATCCATATTTCGACGGGCCGGCCTGCAGCTCAATTCCTCCAAGTGCCACTTCAGTCTCCGTCAGATTACCGTATTGGGTCACCTTGTTGACACTGCCGGCGTACGGCCAGACCCGGCGAAAGTACGCGCTGTAACAAACTTCCCAGTCCCACGCTCTGTCCATGATGTTCGCAGTTTTGTGGGCCTCTGCTCCTACTTTCGCCGGTTCGTGAAAAACTTTGCGGCACTCGCACTGCCACTCACCGACCTTCTCAAACAAGACGTCCCATTTTGTTGGGGCCCTCCTCAAGGTGACGCCTTCACTCAGCTAATCACCGCTGTAACGACACCTCCTATTCTAGCACATTTCGACCCCGATGCTCCCACAGAAGTGGTCATGAAATTGGTGCAGTTTTGGCGCAAATTCAGCGAGGCAACGACCGTGTAATCGCGTACGCAAGCCGTCTGCTTTCTAAGTCTGAACCCAATTATTCTATAACAGAAAGGGAATGTCTCGCTCTTGTTTGGGCGGTTTCGAAATTCCGTCCTTACTTGTATGGCCGCCCTTTCCGTGTCATCACGGATCATCACACGCTGTGTTCGCTTTCTTCTCTGAAGGACCCCACTGGACGACTTGGTTGTTGGGCATTACGCCTACAGAGTATTCCTATTCGGTTGCTTATAAGTCTGGACGTCTCCATCTGGACGCCGATTGCTTATCCCGCTACCCTGTTGATCAGCCCGACGAACCAGACATCGAGCCTAGCCTCAGCGTCATGTCAATGTCCCAGTTTCTTCAGATTGGTGATGAACAACGTCGTGATGCTTCTCTGCGACAACTTATTGACTGCCTCGAATCTGCTCCGAACGACACGTCACTTCGCATGTACGTCCTCCTGAATGGCACGCTGTACCGTCGTAGCCTCCAGCCAGATGGCCCTGAGCTCCTTCTTGTCGTGCCGAAAAATTTGCGTTCGACCGTGCTGCACAAGCTTCACGATGAACCGAACTGCTGGTCATCTGGGCGTATCTCGGACGTACGACCGCGTGCGTCGCCGCTTCTTTTGGCGCGGTCTTGCCTGGTCCGTTCGCCGTTCCGTGTCCTGCTGCGATAAATGCCAACGTAGGAAGCGACCTACTGCGCCCCCGGCTGGACTTCTTCAACCGATCTCCACCCCAACCGAACCTTTCTTGCGTGTTAGTATAGATCTTCTCTGTCCTTTTCCCGATTCGAAATCGGGCAACAAGTGGGTCCCTGTTGCTATAGACTACGCGACTAGGTAAGCCATCACTCGAGCGCTCCTCACCAGCACCGCAACTGACGTTGCGGACTTTTTGCTCCACGACGTCATCCTACACCATGGCGCTCTTCACCAATCACTCACGGATCGTGGCCGCGCATTTTTGTCCCGTGTGATCGACGATCTTCTGCGCTCTTCCTCGACGCACCACGAGCAGACCACTTCCTACCATCCCCAAACAAATGGCCTTACCGAACGGCTAAATCGGACCCTAACGGACATGCTCGCGATGTATGTGTCCTCCGACCACCATGACTGGGAGCTGGCGCTACCTCACGTAACCTTCGCGTACAATTCTTCGCGCCACGACACCACTGGTTATTCACCCTTTTATTTGCTTTA